GGGGGCGTCGTGAAGCTGGCACACACTTATCCTACTGAGCACAGCCTAGGGCATGCGGTCGTGGTCCTGCCTGGTGTCCCACTCAGTTGTCAATATTCCCACTTTCCCATTCATGCTCTACCAGTCCACCCAGAGCCTGAATGATCTGATTCTCTATGGAAAGATAAATGTTATCCACTAGATTTTACCAACAGAGGCACATAAGTGCACAACTGGACACATTTTCCACAAGGATGGAAACGGATAGCAGTAGTAGATGAATCATCTGCTACCCAGGAAGCCCATGAATGAGAATCCACTTTTCTGAGAGTTCTAAACAAGGAAATCACTCTCTCTGAGGATTTTAAAAATCCTTTTTGGCTGAGATGACTATAAAGTGGACTGATGACCTCCTGGTATTTTGATGATAATAATAATAATAATAATAATAATAACTGCCACAAACATTGATCTAGCCCCTAGTAGGTGCCGCATGTTCATGCATACCGCCTTCAATCTTTGCAACTATCCTTTTAATATTTTCTTCTTTCTTGGGACCAGCAGTTGGTGTAATGGCTATGTCGCTGAACTCCCATGTAGTAGACTGCGGTTCAAGTCCCAGACCCAGTGGCTTAAACTCACGCTGAGTGTGTGTGCATGCGTGTCCAAGATCCTGAAAGGAGAATGGAGGAGAAGGGATTGTGGTGTGTCCATCCCCCCGGGGGGTGATTTCTCGCTTTCTGTCTCTCCGTTTCTGTCTTTCTGGCAAGCCCACACGCCCTACAGCAAAAACCTCTCAAAAAAAAATTTTTTTTTCTTCTTCCATTTTATGGTTCAGTAAATTGAGGAAGGGGGGCGTCGTGAAGCTGGCACACACTTATCCTACTGAGCACAGCCTAGGGCATGCGGTCGTGGTCCTGCCTGGTGTCCCACTCAGTTGTCAATATTCCCACTTTCCCATTCATGCTCTACCAGTCCACCCAGAGCCTGAATGATCTGATTCTCTATGGAAAGATAAATGTTATCCACTAGATTTTACCAACAGAGGCACATAAGTGCACAACTGGACACATTTTCCACAAGGATGGAAACGGATAGCAGTAGTAGATGAATCATCTGCTACCCAGGAAGCCCATGAATGAGAATCCACTTTTCTGAGAGTTCTAAACAAGGAAATCACTCTCTCTGAGGATTTTAAAAATCCTTTTTGGCTGAGATGACTATAAAGTGGACTGATGACCTCCTGGTATTTTGATGATAATAATAATAATAATAATAATAATAACTGCCACAAACATTGATCTAGCCCCTAGTAGGTGCCGCATGTTCATGCATACCGCCTTCAATCTTTGCAACTATCCTTTTAATATTTTCTTCTTTCTTGGGACCAGCAGTTGGTGTAATGGCTATGTCGCTGAACTCCCATGTAGTAGACTGCGGTTCAAGTCCCAGACCCAGTGGCTTAAACTCACGCTGAGTGTGTGTGCATGCGTGTCCAAGATCCTGAAAGGAGAATGGAGGAGAAGGGATTGTGGTGTGTCCATCCCCCCGGGGGGTGATTTCTCGCTTTCTGTCTCTCCGTTTCTGTCTTTCTGGCAAGCACACACGCCCTACAGCAAAAACCTCTCAAAAAAAAATTTTTTTTTCTTCTTCCATTTTATGGTTCAGTAAATTGAGGAAGAGAGGAAAAGATAAGCAAAGGATCTGGGTTTCTCTTTTCTAAAGTCTATGCTTTTGAAGGTTCAGTCCAGCTTGTATTTGAATCTTTTCCTAAAGAAAACTCTTAAAAATGCTCACACAAGAACTGTCCATTTCTCCACCTGGGAGATCATTGGGTTATTCTAGAAATCAAAGTTGTGTGGTTAATGCTTCTCCTACCTTGGCCCCAGCTGGGATATTCTCCTCCTCTTTGGTGATGTACTCTGTCCATGTGGCCCAATGTCCACCTCCTTGTTTGAGGAAATAAAAATCATAGATGCTTCCTGGACCCAAAGAAACAAAACAGATCGTTAGCACACCAAGGGTTCACATTTCCTACTGGAGGTGTTTACATCAGCTCTGGGCATCCAAAAATGTGTAACTACCAGTGCTGTCACAGAGGTAGTGAGACACATAGCTGGTAACCTTTCAAACTGGAACACGACTTTTAAAAAAGCAATGACTTAATTATTTATATTAAAATGACAGACACTAATTATAAAAAATATTAAATTATTTTCCATAATGGGAACAGCAAGTATTGAAAATGAGCAAAAAAGAAAGGCAATAAATCACTCCATATGTCAAGTCCAGAAATAACTTTCGATGGCAATTCTTCCATCCCTCTTTCTTGGCACATAAATATTTTGAAGAATGGAAGGACAGATAGGTGAGACAATTAAATAAGAATGGGATGATCCAATGTATATTATTTTAAAATAAAGATGTTCTCTTTCTTTTTGACTAAACAGAAGAAAAAAAGACTGACATGAAAAGATCTGCTGAGCTTCAGATACATTCACTATACTCACTATAAGAGATACTTGTCGAGCCAGCTGGTGGTATAGTGGTTAAGACAACTGGAGCCCATATGGCTGACTACGTGGTTCAAGCCCTGGGCCCAGTGACTTTAAAAATACTCTGAGCATGTGTGTGTGTGCATGCACTTGGACACACATAAATCCTGAGGTTAGAATGGAGGAGAAGGGATTGTGGCATGGCCAACCCCCCTGGGGAGTGCTTTCTCACTTTCTGTCTCTGGATAGCACATGTTCCCTACAGCAAAAAAAAAAAAAAAAAAAAAAAAAGAAAGAAAAGAAAAGAAAGAAAACATAGATATTTGTTCCTAAAATGTGCTTCCTAATTAAAACCATAATTTTAAGGATTCAAAGAGTTACAGCCATTATGCTTTAAAAATTTATTCAATTTTATTATTGTATTTTAAATATTTATGGTGAAAAAGTACATAAAAATAAGTAGAATGGTATAATAAACAGGGGAGAAGTCAGAAGGATGATCAGAAGGAAGAAAAATAAATATAATGGTAACTGATGATGAGGAAATGGATGAGAAATGTTGATAAGTATTGGATAATGGATTTGCAACTGTTTATTATATTAATTAGGAAGCCCTCCTCAGCATCACATTCTGGAAGATGAAAATCCTCTTTCTTCCTTTTTATGTCCATTTCTTCATCTTGTCAGGATTTGGGGCATGTATAAACACATACTTGGTGTGTTTTTCAATCATCAGAGCTGGGAATTCAAACCACAGTCAGACAGTAAAATCTGAATCCCAATGCACAGTACTTAATCACTGTAGGGGCTGGCCCTGGTTGTTTATCCCACCCCTACTAAGGTCCTCCAGCATAAAACAATGGCTTCCATGACTGAGGGTTTCTCTTAGACATTTGTTGAAGCTGCCTAGCCACCAGTATAGTCAACTTTCCTCCACCGTGGTGATGATCAGTGAAAATTCTCAGAATTTTATCAATTCTATTTTCCTTTCAGCATCACTCTTAATGGATAATGAAGTGGCAGATTCTGGATGGGGAGATGTACCATACCAGAACCTTTTGTTTCTCAACCTGTCCACCACTTTTCAGTATTTAGAAAATTAATTTATAACTCTTTCATTGGTTATAGATGAGGAATTTTTAGGATTAAAAATTGTTCTTTTTTTTTAAGTATTAAAGAAGGGAGCTTCTGTTATCCTACATCACTCTACAATTTACCTAGAAATCAATCTGGTACAACTCTTTTAGAAAGTAATCTGACGCTATGCTTACAGAGCTACAAAAATGTTCTCTAAGTCAGAAACCACATTTCTGAGAATTTATCATAAAAAATAATCACAATGAAAATAATTTGTATACATGAGTATGCAGCACCATCTGTGATAGCAAAGAAATAACTTACAAGTCCTACATTAAAAAGGACTGGTAAAAATGATGTCTTATAAGATGGGGGAAATATTTATCAATAATTAAAATTGTAGTTGCAAAAACTAAATATTAACATAGAAGATGCTTTTTAGAAATAATGCCAGATAGGGACCAGAATATGGCATATGGTTACATTGGTAGACTCCCATGTATTCTACCATGGTTCAAGTCCTGGACCAGGTGGCTTAAAACTCATGCCAGGCACGTGCATGTGCATGCCCAAAATCCCAAGAGGAGAATGGAGGAGAAGGATGCTTTCTTACTTTCTGCCTCTCTGTCTCTCCAGTGAGCACACATGCCCTACAGCAAAAATCTCTCTTAAAAAAAAAAAAGTAATGATGCCAGATGAAATAGAATAAAACATAAAACATGGACTATGTATCATTAAGGCAACTACCTAAACAGATGAAAGCAAGAGAGAAAGCAAGATAAAAGACTATTGTTGTTGTTGTTTTGGAGAGATTTTTGCTATAGGGTGTGTGCGCGCACCAGAGAGAGAGACATAAAGTGAGAAATCACCCCCACCCAGGGGAATGGCCACACTGCAATCCCTTCTCTTTCATTCTCCCCTTGGGATCCTGGGCACACACCCGTGCCTGGTGTGAGTTTAAGCCACCAAGTCCAGGACTCAAGCCGCGGTCAACTACATGGGAGTCCAGCGACATAGCCATTATGCCAACTGCTGGTCCCCGAGAAAAGATTTTTTGAAAACAGAAATATGTATGATACAGTAATAGGGGCAAAAGAGATACTTGTAATTACTTTTCTTTAATAGAATTTAATTGTTTTAATAATAAAAAGGGGGGTGCTGAATGCATGAATCAGTAAACTAATGACTGAGCTAGAACTAATTTGTGTTTTGATTTAGAAATATGTAGGCCTAAAAAAACCCCAAACAAAAAGATTTAACAGAGTAAAAGTGGATTTAACAGCTGTGTGACCGTGGCAAAGACCTTGCACATCTGTAAAATGGGCCTGATTAGTGGTTGATTAGTGGTTGCCTGGGGCTGAAGATAGAAATAGGGATTAATTGAAAATAGGCCTGGGTTACAACTATAGAAGAAATTAAGACTGAAATAAAAAGATTCTTATAAACTAATGATAATGAACAACAAGAGTTTATAACGTATGAGACAAAGCAAAAGCAGTCTTAAGAGGGAAATTCATAGCAATTAGTGCACACAAGAAAAAAGCAAAAAGGTGGCAAATAAACAACCTAATGATACAACTCAGGGAACTGGAAAAACAACACCAAAAATATTCCAGTATAAAAGAAATGATAAAGATTCAAACAGAAATAAATGAAATAGAAAATAAAAGAACTATGCAGAAAATAAATGAAAACAAAAGCTGGTTCTTTGAGACGATAAATAAAATTGACACACCATTAGCTAGATTAATTAAGAACAGAGAAAGGAACCAGATAAATCAAGTCAGCAAGGAAACAGGCATTATTACAACAGATATAACAGACATACAAAATATCATCAGACAGTACTATGAGCAATTATGTACCAACAAACAAGACAACCTAGATGAGATGGACCAATTTCTGGGCACGTATAACTTACCAAGATTCAAACAGAAAGAAATAGAAACTCTGAATGGACCCATAACAAGAAATGAGATTGAATCATCAATAAATAGTCTCCCAACAAGGACAAGTCCAGGTCCTGATGGTTGTAATTCTGAATTCTACAAAACTTTTAAAGAACTAACCCAAATTCTCCTAAACTATTTCTAAAAATTCAAAAGGAAAGCACCCTCCTGGATTCATTCTATGAAGTTTCCACCACCTTAATTCCCAAACCAGATAAGAACATGACCAAAAAAGATAACTTCAGGCCCATATTTCTGATGAATATGGATGCAGAAATTCCCAAAAATATACTAACAAATCGTATTCAACAACATATAAAAAAGATTATACACCATGACCAAATATGATTTATACCAGGGATGCAAGAAGGGTTCAACATATGCAAAACAATAAAAGTAATACATCACATTAACACAAGGAAGATAAAAATCATATGATCATATTAATTGATGCAGAAAAAGCATTAGATAAAACACAACACTCCTTCATGATTAAGACTTTCAACAAAGTCAGCATAGATGGGACATTCCTCATCACAATAAAAGCCATTTATAAAAACCCATAGCTAACATCATACTGAATGGGGAAAACCAGAAAGCCTTTTTCTTTTTTCTTTCTTTTTTTTTTGGAGAGATTTTTGCTATAGGGCGCATGTGCTAGCCAGACAGACAGAGAGAGACATAGAGACAGAAAGTGAGAAATCACCCCCCAGGGGGATGGTCATGCCGCAATCCCTTCTCCTCCATTTTCCTCTCGGGATCTTGGGCACGCACGCACACACGCCCGACATGAGTTTTAAGTCACCGGGTCCAGGATGCGAACCGTGGTCAACTACGTGGGAGTCCAGCGACATAGCCATTATGCTAACTGCTGGTTCCCAAACCTGAAAGCCTTTTCACTAAAACTGGTACAAGACAAGGCTGCCCACTTTCTCCACTGCTTTTCCACATAGTACTAGAAATTCTAGACAATGCAATTAGACAAGAGAGTCAAATAAAAAGCATCCAAATAGGAAAAGAAGAAAAGAAATTATCTCTATTTGCAGATGATACGATAGTATACACAGAAAATCCAAAAGAATCCACCAAAAAACTCCTGGAAGTGATAAATAAATATAGTAAAGTGGCAAGATACAACATCAATGTACAAAAATCTATAGTATTTTGGGACCAGCAGTTAGCGTAATGGCTATGTCGCTGGACTCCCATGTAGTCGACCGCGGTTCGTGTCCCGGACCCGGTGGCTTAAAACTCACGCTGGGCACATGTGCGTGCGTGCCCAAGATCCCAAGAGGAGAATGGAGGAGAAGGGATTGCGGCGTGGCCATCACCCCTGGGGGGTGATTTCTCGCTTTCTTTCTCTCTGTCTCTCTCTGTCGGTCTGACGAGCGCATGCGCCCTATAGCAAAAATCTCTCCAAAAAATAATAAAAAAAATCTATAGTATTTTTATATACAAACA